CTAAATGATGTAACATGATATGTAAGCAAAGAAGATAGTGAAATATTTACGAAATTTAGTGTTTGATTCCATTTCTTTTACTCTCAAAGACACCGAGCCGTCGAAGTCAATCTTCGCCTTCAAACTGCGACCATACTTAGGGCCATACCATCTTGGTCTTCATAGCTTTATATAACATTACTTGAAAACAATTATGCATAACAACACTCGGAAAATCCATCGTTCTGCCTCAAATCTAGGCTAGTTTAAATAACAAAACTCTTGATGCTAAGGGCACCAAAAATTAAATTGGTTACGATGAATCGAATAACCTTATTCCATTAAATTGCCTGGTAAAGCTTATCCAAAGTTAATGTTAATAGCCATAGCAGATTAGGAGCTTGACTCTGATTAAGTCATAGCAGCAAGTTGTAAGGACACGAGTCTAGAACAAGCGGGTTCTGAGAATAGATGTTAGTCTTTGAATCGACGGGTCAGGCCCATTTAGGTAAAGAGACATGTCAGACTTACACAGCAGTTTACTTCTCTCCCATATCAGAATTAAACTAAGAACTGAGACAGCTTTCAATTAATCATGATCTTAATAGCATGAAAGTTATAGTTTAGATAATCAATTATTCAATTACTGCCAAATGCAACTACCCGGCAACAAGCATTTCTAAGGAAAAGAGAAAATATTCTTAAAAAAACTGCCTAATTGATTAAGATGATTTCCCTTACTTGTCATTTGTTTCTATAAGACCTATATTTGACTATTGTATGAAGGAGAATTTGGAAAATGCTATCAAAAATAGGAACAGAAGTGCGGCTTATCAAAAACCAACTGATATATATTCCAAAATATGTGTAATACTCTTTTGAAAGACGGAGCCGCACACTGAAAGCCTCGAGGAGAATAATGTGGAACTTGACAGTGCTAACTTATAACGTCCACTTTGTGCATCACGTCGAGACTGTGTGGCTAAAAGTATGTCCAAAGTAACGCCAACTTTGAGAAAATCGAATTATACCTCGTCTGAATTACCTAGTCGAGACGAGACTTTCCCATTGTGACCTGCGTTTTAGCATGAAAAAAGTAAGAGTTTTAGTCCTTGCTCATGGATAGGTGATCGACAATTAGTTACCAGAAAATGCAATAAAAGATCAGCCAATCTTCAATTCGCTGTTTCTATTAGCGCCTTCCATTTGGTGCGAAATTTGGCATCCTTTGTGTATTCGTTTTCGCAGATGGGCATACTGTGCTCAAGTTTTATAGGAATTGAAGCAAGCATTCTCATAGGCAAAATTTCAAGATAACTATGGCTAATGAACGTTGGTGTAGACTGATTTGGGGCGTATTCCTTGTAGAAATTTCGGAGCAGAGTTGGCATGATGATAAAAAAACACATGGATACCGGAAAATAGTATAGTGCCTTTCTTAGTCTGGCGTTTTATAGCAATAGGTTTAACTATCTCTACAGATTACGCCAGCTAAGATATCAACGAGGAATGTGAAACTGTGTTATATCGAAAATTAGAAAGAAGTCAGTCATTCCGTCGTCAAAAACCTTTACATATCTTATATATTTGTGAAATGTTGGAACAATCACCCTAACAAAGGCAAAAATCAATCTGGTTAAGCAAATCGGCCGAATTAATATTATTAATATTATTAATAATGATAAGTTTTATGACCATAAGCTAATAAAAAGTATAATTGAAGGTAAGAAGACCAAGATGGCGTGACCTTTAGTATGACACGGTCTCCTTTCGTTGTATAGAAATTGTCTGACCATGTTTTCGCAATTTCGTTGTATTGTCAAGGCGAGCTGAAGTAACGCGCATAGTCCGGAGTTAAAAGTATGCACGACAATTTCCTGCGTCGAAAGGTGGACTTGATGGGCCACACTATAACTCGTCAAAGAGACAACTAAAGACGATCCTTTGACCATTTGTATACTGAGCAGTCGTGGAATCTCTTCTTCTGTCTTGGTGCATAAACTTATCATATGTCTTAACATCACCCATTCACTTACTCGCTTAGTTTAACCTAATTCAAATGTGCACTTTTTAGCCGATTTAGTGAGATAGATGCCCTTACTAAACAGTGATAAGGGAATCTGCAGAGTCAAGTTGATATTGTATCCAGCTTTAGGATCCAGACTTTGTGGACCTGCTCGATGAGGCAGGAGGATACGTGCTATCGAAGACTTGTGACAAGTAGGCTGAACTATTAATGGTTGACTATGATTTTTCGAAAATGTTCCTACCACGACGAAAACTATACACTATACGCCAAGCTGAATACTTTATAATAATGATGAGGCTAAGGATAGTTCAACTGAGGAGATTAGAAATAACTTACAGGACCTAAGGTTTCATAAAATCCGTCTGCAAAATCCCACCGAGGACACAAGTAACCAAGGATTTCTTGGCTATTTTGTGTTGAGATTCCAACATTTTTCAAATTGCTCCCAGAAGCTAAAATATATATTTTTACAGCCCAAACGTTCCAGGCACCGATTAAACGAAGTATCAAATGGCCTGCAGAAAACCCATTAACCATCGATAAAAATTTGATAAAAGCCCAACTACTTGTAATCCGTATTGGATTAAATAAAGTGGTAAAATATTCCTGCTTTTTCATCAGTTCAGTCGTGAGCCGGTTCACGATGCAATACACTTTTATGTGTTTTTCTTAAATGAGTTGGTCTTCAAGACTACCCGTTAATCAGATATATGAGTTACATTCACCAAATTTTGGTTAAGATGATGAAGGACTGTTAGTTGATTTTTCCCACAATGCTATTAGCAGAGCTGATGTTCTCCATTGAATTTCATATAATGATATAAGAATAATTGACTTTTGTGTGAAATTCAATGGAAACGTCAGTTCTACTCATATCATGGGGAAAGAATCGGCTACCAGTCTTTCATCACCTTAAATGAAATAGGGTAAATACAACGTATACACTCTTATAGTGTATTACAGCCTCTGTCAGTGTCTCTCAATAAATAGCAATGGCCATAGAGACTTGTCCAAATGCAAACTTTATTTTTTCATTAGCTATACATAATTTTGATACTATAATATTCTGCGTGACAAGCAAAGATCCATTAGTTTTAAGAAAAAGTCAGCTTTGGTGAGACACCGAAGCCTGTTTATTTCAACATGTTTTGCATGCATTCAATTTTCTGCATGTTCTGTACGTTCAGTCAGCAGTAAAAGAGATAAGTCGGGGAAGTTGAGAAAAAAAAGATACAGATCTTTGCCGCCTTACTCACCTCGAGTCACATTGGCGCCTGTAAACAGCCCGTTTGGGTAGGCGATTGATTGAGCAGCCACCGCGTATCCGATGATTATGACAGTCAAGATTATCATAAAAGGAATCAGATCGTTTGTCACCTGAAAAAAAGGAGCCGGAACTTCAATGAGGTAGCAAGTGTAGTCAGGATATGAGAGAGAAATAAATTAATTCAGGGAGAAAGTTTGGCAAGATGATTAAATTTGTCAAATTTAAATTGTTTTGAACAATTTTAGAGAGTTTAATTTAATCATATGTTGGTCATATTCAAACTAGGGAATTCCAAACGACTTTGCTTCACTGCAAGCCACTTACACCCTACAAGACCACAGTTATGGCATAATATTTCATTTCAATGAGGCTGGAGATGAAATAAACTTTGTTTCTTAATCGAAGATACGAAGACCATGATATTGTAGCCTTTAGTATGGTCGCGGTCTTCTTTCAGCGGATAAAAGTTCTTTGACCTTGTCGCCACAACACAGAGGGAGTGTGAATGGGTCGAACTAAATCCGTCCCAAAAGGCTCATCTGAATTTGGTCAAAATAAAAAGGTAAGAAATTGTGATAGTGAGAGGGTGATACGTGGGTATAGACAATGTGAAGGCACCAGGGCAGGAGAATTACTTCAACTGTTCAGTAGAAAATTGGTCAAGGGATTGACTTCAATTGTCCATTTAACGGGTTGTGATGTAGTGTTAAGAGAGTGGCAAGACTAAATGACGATGTGGGCGAAATTTCTGGAAATGTACCGACTCCATGGCCCGACTATGGAAATTGTCTTGGCTAATATGGCCTCCAATCAAGTTGCCCTTCTCTAGGTCTCCCTGATACTGCGAGCAAGTTGTTAAGATAAGGTGAAAAAACGTCCTTATTTCTTATTTTGATTCCTCGAGTTACCAATTTTGCAGGGACCCATCACAGGAATTTAAACGAATTTGGCTTAGCAACCAGAAAGTGGAATGCCCAACGCAAGCTTGTTTGATTAAGTAGGCCTGACATTATACACAAACTTGGGAAAAATATGTTTTGCGTTCTATTTCAACTCCACTTACACGAAAAATAGCACTCTTCACAAGTACAGCCTGCACTTTAGGCATATTGTAAAATGTGGCTGATACGGTTGCTAATGGCTATGTACAGTCGGTTTGCTATGATAGTTACCAGTCAATGTCGTAAAGCATTGGATGCATAAGTAGACGCATTCCCAACTATCGGCACTTAGTATATTGTAATATGGATGTTATTGTATGGATATTGTCGTATCTAAGGTTGCATGGCTATACAGTTCACTCGCTCACAGTTAGTGAACTAATTAACTAAAGATTTTTGTAAACTTGGCAATGAATAGATGAAAGAATAACATTATCATGTATCACATACTCCAGATTTTCTCAAGGGCAGACAGTAAATATAAATATAATTATGGAAATATATATATATATAATATTACTTTAAAAATAATGTAATTTTTAAGGCTATCCCTAATGCAACGGCTTCCTTCCTCACTATAATTTAATCTTTTTCAAGCAAATCGACTCCAGTTCTCACTTGGAGGCTCAAATGAATTCCTTTTTACTTCTAGGAAGGTGCGATTAATTTGTGCCACCAAAGCCAATTAAAATCACTCTGGAAAGTAATTCCCTACACTCTTAGAAATTCGTTTGAGTGACATAAATAGTTTACTGGTCAGCCAGAGGAGAAGATAGGCCATAAAATGGGCTCAGTTAATATGCCTCAGTATAATACACATTTTCTTGGCTGGTTTTCTATTTCAGTCCTATTTGAACTAGTCGGTAGATATATCCAATTTATAGGCGCCCTTCAAAAAAGATCATACCATTTTTCCAATCATGATCAGCTTTGGTCCGAGGGCGATATGGAAGCTAAATGTGTACATCAGCCGAATGTAAAAGGTGAAAAGACTGAAGGCGAGGCAGATCCTGGAGGGGTCAATGATTGGATCTGTAACAATGATGAAGGCCTCTTCGCTCTCATCAATCGCTTCAGGTCCGCCCAGTTGGAGAAGTACAAAGAGACGAAGTATGAAGCCTATGATGAAGAGGGCCAGTGCCACACAGTCCAATTTATTCCAGCCGTCTGAGATATACGTAGAGAAGCTGATGCCTGAGAGCACGGCCTAGATATCCCACATGGTGCGGAGCAGATAAGATTGAAGAAAAAGAAGATTATATAATCTTTTTCGTGATATATTTTAGCGTTAAATAGTGAATTAAGACGAGATTGTCGTAAGTGCAAGAGGAGAGTTAACGTGAGGTGAAAATATT